ACTGTACATAATATGCTGGCATATAAATCACCATTTAATTAATCATTACGTAAATTGAGCAATCATATACTGTAATAGTAATTGTCACAAAGGTTTGATTTTCTTTCTATCTTTCTATTATAAGTCATATTTCCAAGTATTTTAATTAATGTTAAAAATGATTTTTAATTATTTTATAAACTAAATTAATACTTAAAATAACATAAACCCACTTGTCAGTCCCATAAATGGAAAAATATAAATTAATAATTAATAATAATAACATAAATTTTAATAAAGCTTAATTGCAGTTTATAATGGAATTTGAGTTTTATATACTGTATAAGAATTGTATAAAAATGATAAATTTGATATTTGTTTTAATATACATTTGTTTATATAAGAGTTGAACTCAACATTCAGGTGCTATAGAGCGCCGGCTTATAGACTAAACTCATTGTGAATGACAAACACAGCGAAGGAATTCAATACTTTACTGAAGTTTACCCCAAGAAATGCTTTCACTTTATTTTCATATAAAAAACTATATTTCTTGTCGATTCTGTTTTCATAGGGTTTTTGTTATTCATAAGATATACTCGTCCATTAGAATTATAGTGTTTACCCAGTTCAATTAGAATTTTGTTTTTATACCAATCTTAATTTAATTGCATTAAAACATGTCTTATTTATGGTGTCCTCTCGATCACAATCATCTGTATCACAGGATAAATAAATTCATGCCTCTCTCGAGTCCAGTGTTATATGCATTCAAATGATACAAAATAAGACTTTAAATAAAGACTTTAACTTTTATTGAGACATAACTGCAACTGAACTCATTGCTCTAATAGTGCACATCTCTTACAGTCTAAACCATTGATCGCCAATTTAGATATATTGGACACTATCAGGATCATATAATTTACAGTGCAATATGTCACTATACTGTACTATAGTGAGCACTAGTTTTGCTGGATGGGTACTCATTGTCCATACAATTTTAATTGCTCATATAAAACTTATAAATACTTACATAAAAAATACAGTGATGTCAATAGTAACAGTTTTATATTAACTTAATACAGTAGTTAGTAGTCTATAACTTTCTAACGATTTCTATTTATACATGTATAATGAAATTATATACAGTAGTTTATTAACTTACTACTAATATGAAACAAAATTATTTAAATGATAAATAGTCTACTTTTATATAAATGAAATAAGTTGAAATTTATTTTTAAGAAAATTATTGTAAGAATAAAACAAAATCCAAACAACAAAACAATTGATTTACTCTTATTTGGTTTAAATATGAAAGTTTGCTCTCATTTTAATGTCAAATTAATAGCTTTTGTTGATTTTATATACAGTACTTATTTTTGTAAAAAAATAAGTTTACGTAAGAATTGTATTCTACTATAAGTGTTAAGAATATTTTTAAGTCAATTAACGGATAATTTTTATATAATTTATTAGTAAAAATAATTTATAATAACTTAATATTTTAAAATGTATATTTCGCAATATAATAAATTTATTGTCTTTTACAGTTATATATTAACAAGTTGAAATAAATGTATACCATATTATTTATAGAAAAATCAGTAATCATACTGACATTTTAGTCACAGTAGACATTTTAAAAAGTTATAACGATTTGCTATTTTAATTTTTAAAATTCCAAACCCTGTTACAGTTTCAGAAACTTTTTTATTACATTTTCTCAAATATTTAATCTTTAAATATATCTTTGGATTTTGAGACGTCTGTGAATGCAATCAATTCTATTCACTAAAAGTTTTTAAGAAATTCAATACAAATATAGAGTCCAATCATTTATACAATCATTTGAAAAATTGGTTCACAACTCATCTGAAGAGTGGTTTTTCTCTGTGTTGAGAAATTTTGAAAAAGTGGGAAACCTATTGAAAATACAGTATTGAAAGAATAATTGGGTTCACAAATGGATCACTTCAGCATTTCAATGATTTCTTAGTAACTTTAATATCGGTTCAGTTTATCAATCCCTTAGTTCTCATAGATTTCATCATTAGATTAAAAATTGTTAAAAATAAACTTTTTTGATACAGAATAAATATTTTATGATTACCTCAATTCATGATTTCAACCATATATTGCATTAAATCTTAATAGCTTTTGAATCTTACAAATATTCTGACTTATAAATATACTATATATACAGTATAGTTTACGTTTTAAAACAAATTATTTGAAAAATATTATATAACCACATCTAAAAGTAAGATGAATATAATATTAAATTTTTTTAATGTAGTCTTTAAAGACTGATACAATTTAAATTAAATATATTATTGGATTTGTGGAATCAGATATACACTGTAATATGAATTGAAAGTCCTATTATACTTAATACTATTTTCAGTAAAAAAATTCTTTCAAAAATATATTGAAAATCATAAATGGGTTTTCAATTTACTATAAGTTTATGAAAAATATTTTCCAAATGATTTATGATAAAATACTATCTATAAAAATGTTTTAAATTGTATCAATATACTCTGTATAACAGTTTCTGAGTGCTGTACTTTGAAGTTTCACTTGAAATTATATTTCTTTGAATATTTTGAATTAATTATTTTAAATCAATGGGTATAATGTATAATATTTAACATGGTCACTTAATTGAAAAAACGTTAAGTTTTGAAAGTAAAACATATGACAAAAATACCAGATTCTCTCCTTATTTCGGTATATTATTTTTAAAACCAAATTTATATCTATTACAAAGTAAACCATACTTTATAAATAGTCTGGTTTTTATTATTACGATAAGCTATAATAGTTTACATACTAGTAATACATAGAATAGTATACTAAATAAAAAATGGCAAATCCTGCAAATCCATAACATCTATTGCATTATTAGTCATTTAAACTATACATAAATGCAAGTGTTTTATTAAATAATAATGACCAGAATAATAATTTGTTCAACAATTTTTATAATAAACTCAAAACAAAATTTCCTTTAAAAGTAATATATTTGTATTCATAACATTAAATGATTAAAATATTTTATTTAAATTCAAAACATATTTGACTTTAATGTATGTCTATTATATTTTATAAATTATAATTTGTGTATTAAATTATTAGTTTTAGTATATTATGCATTAAGCATTACTTATTACTGTAGAATCTCATTTATTTTTAAATATTCATTGATTAAAAAATTATAAAAAATTTTGTCATTTATATTAAATATGTTATAATTAGTTAGTATACTTCTACCATATACTATTATGGTTATTTAACAAAAATAATATATTTAAAATAGAATTTTATCGTATAGTATATTACTGTTCTATAATGTATTATTATTAAATATACAACAGTATAATACAGTCAATATTACATTTTCTATTAAATTGAATGAAATAAAGCTTTTAATGCATTGCAAAGTAGGAAACCATATGATAGCTTCAATTATCCACATCTTGTGATCAATGATCATTTTATTTATCTTGTTTTTATCAAATATTATGAAACAAAATTACTGTATCTCAATTATAAGTATTTAAATGAATTTATTCTCTCTTTCCAGAAATTTGTCAATTTAAAACAAAAACATCGCTTCAAAAAGTTTAATCTAAATCCCGTCTAAAAGGTTAGTGTATTAGATCTTATAAACAATAATAATATATATATATATATATTTTGCAACAATTTTTTTATTAATAAGTACCTATTTTATCTATTAATATTAATTCATAAAAGTTTCTCATTCATTTTTAGCTTTTCATACAATTTATAATTTATAAATTAGTATAATTTATGTTTGTAATAAGCATAATAATAGTTAATCAAAATGTTTTTTAAGAAATACAGTACTGTAGTAGTACTCAAATAGCTTAAACATTAAGGAGTAAATGAATAGACTTTCATTAATCAAATTAAGTGAAATATTTTGATACAAAAAACCATTTACGTTATATAAAACATTTAAAATACTCATTAAATTTTATTCAATTACCTTACTACAACAGTAGTATAACACAGAGTTTATTAAAGCGCAAAAATTATTTAATTATAATTATTATAAATTATTATAAAAATTATAATTTCTAAATACAGCACATATTAAGATAATTTAAAAAATGAATTAAAAGATGTTAATCTTAAAGCATAACTCAGTGTTAAATAGAATCGATAAAACATTTTCAAAATATGACTCAACATTAGAAACAATTGGAAAGTTATTTGTCTAATGTTTGGCCATATAATGACATTTTATTCAGTTAGACAATTATAGGCTTATGTATTGATCTAAAACATAGATCCTCACTTATTAGGACTTATATCAAATAAAACAAGTGAAAGTTTTGGACACATATTGTCCTAAAGCCATATCACATAAAGAATAATAAGTGCCTATAATATCAAAAATAAAACTATTAAATAACTTATGATATAAGTTAATAATTTGTGACATTTGTCATATAATATTTAGCGTTAAACTAAATGCCTATATTTATAGTTTTAAATTTGTAAATAATTAACATTTCCTTCATTTTGATTCACATATTCCAAATCAATTCGCTTTATCTTCAATTATTTATCAAAACATAATAATGTAAATGATTTTCAAAAATAATTAATAATTCAAATGTTTAGTCAAATAAACAAAAGTGGGATCAAATGATATATTTGGTTTGATGTATACTGTATTGTAGAATATTTTTAGAGTAGAATAATATATGGTATTATAATTAGCAGAATATTCGCATTCATTCTTCCAAATAAGAGATAATCACTTTTGTTTCGGGATTACAATTTGTTGTTTAAAATCTAGTTTTATTTTAAAACAAAAAACAAATTTAATTAAATAAATTGGAGTTTTTGTCTAAATATACTTTTATTATTGGCGAACTTTATAATAGTGCCATATATTCCCTTGTAAACTAATTTATAGTAAGAATTGTATTTTATATAATTGAATGCTAAACAACTGACGAAAAGATCCTATTTTCCAGACTTCAGAGCAAATAAGAATCGGAAAATTCGTGAAAGTTTGGAAACACATGAATGGTATTAACCGAAAGACTCCGAAACGACTGAAACATATCGGCGGCCTAGAAAAGAGTGCATTTCTATTGCTTACATCAATACTGAAAACAATTATCTAAACATATCGGCGCTCTTTAACTGAGTGGACATCGCAATCAATAGGGAATAATGAGTGAAGAGTCGTATCACATCCGTCTCGTCACTCTCGGAGGGGTTTCTGTCGGCAAAAGTGCTATTCTTAGGGTCAGAATTAATGTACTTTTTATTATATATCCATAACTCATATACCATTAGTTAGTATTCTTTTGTTTGCATACATCAGTGCTAATCGTATATTTATTTGCTAAAACTTTTTAATTAACTATAAGTAGAAATAGTTTTACAACAAAAGTTATGCAATTTATTTGTATTATAAAAGCTTAATTATCATTTATCATCTTAATTAAAACGTGCATATATAGTTTATAAGTTATATGCCGTATACTGTATTTATGCACAGATTTATAAATATAAGTTGTATAACATTTGATTGCATTTGTTTCAGAGATTTTTATTTAACACGTTTAATGAGAAACACAGGGCTACTGTCGAGGATCTATTCACAAAAGATTTCAATTTAGGAACAATGACTCTAAAGGTTTGTTATTAAGTAGTTATTACCACAAAATGTTACATGTTTTCATTGTCCTATTTTCTCATTTCTATCGATCGATTGTTTTGTTTTCTATAAATAATCAAATAATTGATTGCTTTTGTGAGCGCTTGTTATTGTGACTTATAATCTTAAACTTTGAATCTCAGGTCGACTTCTTGGACACAGAGGGAGACATGCAGTTCCCGGCGATGAGACGGCTGTCGATCGCCAACGCACAGGCATTTATGCTCGTCTATAGGTATGATTGAAACGCCTTTTCTATACAATTACTGACATCAATAAGTGAAGCAAAAGTTTTGGTTCAATGAATTTATTTGGACGATCTTTTTCTCGCTGCAAAGTATTGACAAGTTGTGTACATTCGATATAATCAAGACTTGCTTTGAGGAGATTAAAGAAGTCAGGGCTGACTTCCAGGTACAACCATTTCCAGACACTAATCATGCAGAGAGTCTGCGAGCACAGCAAACTCCATGTCTTATGTATATATGTATTGTCTCATAGGATGTGCCCATTATTTTCGTGGGCAATAAGAATGATCTGTCGGATGAATTCAAAGAAGTGCCCAAAGAAGATGTCGCCGAATGGGTCAGTAGTCATACCACTGCTCCTATACTGCCTATACTGTAGATATAATTAATTTCTATTCAATTACATCGAGAAAGAGATTTTCTTTTTTCACTTGCATTCAAATAAATATCTTTTAGGATTTCCTCTACCATTAAAAGCGAAATCAATTTAAGATTTGCTCTCATTTTTCATTTAGCTTTTCCTTACCATATAAATGATAATATATTTAATATTATTATTATAACATGAGTTAGCATTACTAACTTATAATCCTTAATTGTTAGCGTTTTATTTATTATGATTTTTAGATTTAATTTTAATTTATTAACAAATATTAAGTACTTATTTAAAACTTGAAACTAAAACAATCGCTTAAATAAGGTGTAAATGATTGATGGTTTGAAGTAATTGTTTTTAATGCAAAAGATATTATAAAATTCCATTAAACGAGCGATTATTGAATTGAATCGACAAATGTGCAGATATAATGTGCATTGCATTGACTTTTAATGGATTTGAGTCCATAACTAATTGTATTTGTATTTCCAGTTAGCATTACTAACACATCCTATTCAACGAATAATTGTTAAAATTTTTGTTTTCTCTAGAAATCCTATTTCAGGCGATAATTAATTTGAAATTCTCAAAATTCTGGATTAAATTCATTATTAAGTACAATGCATTTGAGACTAATTGTCACAAAACTATATAAGAATGAGTTTTATTACATTAGAAAGACTATTAGATATATGAGATGAGAGAGAATCTAATATCAATTAATTTTTGTGAAACTTTTCCGATGAAAAGGTATGATGTGTTCATTGATTTGTGAATCAATTAATTGCAGGTCTTCTGTGAACTGCCAAAACTGCGAACAAAAGTAAGTCTCAATTTGACGTCTAGAGTGGTCTCTGAATGGACTGATTGACTGTTTATATAACAAACAATTGCTTCCCATCTGCAGGTTATGGAGTGTTCGGCCAAATCAAACACAAACGTTAAGGAGATATTCAAGGCTTTCCTTCAATTGGCTCGCATTCCTCTGCCTAATGACGAAGGCCTGCGGCGCCGGTCGTCAGCCCAGGCCCGGGTGCCCAACGGGAAGCCCCGGTTCGCCGGCAACACGAGCTTAACGCCCAATCACGCGCTCGACGACGAGTCCACGAGTCGACTGAAGCCCCGGAGCAGGAGTTTGATTAGGAGGTCGAGTAAGAAAGTGAACAAAATCAAGGAACCGACCTCTGATGCCGACGACTGTGCCGTTTCCTGATCTATTCGCCACCCCATCCCACACCCCATCCCACACCACATCCACACCGGTGTATATCTGAGTCGTTATTTGAGTACAAACTTATTGATCATATTTTCTTATCAGAGAACGATTCGTATATAAGTGAAAAAGATTTTAACCATAAAATGAACCAAAAATCTTAAATTCAGTAAAAAAGTAGAATTCATATCACATTCAAGTGTTTGTTTATTGTAAAACATTTGAGTCATAAATCGGAATAATTGTCAATAGTTTTAACATAACATATCAATATTTAAATGTTAATTAAAGACAATATTTGAAATGACTTTTAGACATCAAATACCATTTCATAAATTTGTTAAGATACTGAAAAACAATTATATTTAATATAATGTTTACAAAATTATAAAGTTCATAATTAAATATTTTGTAGTTTCAATATAAAAGTCAATTCAGGTATAATAAATTAACAAATAATGTGCTTATCATAAGTATTAAAAAACTATACATCATATCGAAAATTCTGGGATTAATTGAATTCAAAGGTTTTTAAAACAACATTTTTAGATTTAAATAAAGTTATTAATATTTGAAGGAATTTTGAAATTTGATTTATTTAATTACTGTATTATTTGTATTTTTTAAATCTACTCATTTTGAGTATAAAAATAATACTTACTTTATAATTTTTGAAATTACAAACAAAACGTTTAGTTTTAAGTGTTAAATTAATTTACATTTATTTTATAATTTAAT